GCTGATGATTTTAATTTATATATGTATGTACTCGAATTTTAATTTCCATTTCCACTTGACAGTCAGTTCCAGTTCCCTATAGTGGCTATCTGTCTGTCCGTCCCTCGGTCTGTTTGGGAATTCGGCGTAAGACATTTTATTGAAAACACGCGCTCGCCGCCCGCTTAATTGAAAACAGCCGCCGAAACCGACAGGCAACACTCGATAGTCAACAGTCGACAGTCGACAGACGGCAATTGAAATTTGCAATAACAATAAAGACTTACCTATTCGTTTAGCCGATAGTGTGACTCACAATGCCCGTAAATTGAGTGAATAACATGCATCAGCTGCTTTCATTTGGCTCACTTATTGTGATAAATCAAAGCAACTGATTTATTATGATCGGCGAGACGGATTTAATAAAACAGCTTCCAAATAGCTTAGCTGATTGAAACTGGAACACTCTGAAGCTATGCAAGAGAGCTTTTTCTGCACAATAAGTTTCTCGATAATTCTTTCAAATTTGATGAATGAATGTGGGATCTCCTATAATAAACAATTTGCATTTATTTCTGGCTGATGCAAATGTATGTAACAGGGAGAAGGACGCATCTTGCAGCCCATAAAGAGTCTGTAAGAGTCTGTTTCCGATCATCGATAGCTTGACCCGTTTCCAAGCAATAGATACACATCAAAAGCCGAATCTTTTTTTCTAAAATAGTATATACAGATCAAGTCTTTCTTTTTGCTTACTTTTTGACTGGTATATTTTAAATTAAATTTTATATATAACAGGTTGATGCGTGCTAATGCCTTTGTCCCTTACCTCATGATTTCTCAACTTTGAGCACTGACGAATCTCAAGAAATTCCTTGGCAGCGGTTTTCATAAATAATTTAAATAATATACTTTTGATTAAAAGCAGCATTTTGAATACTGCATTGGGTACAACAAAACATACAAAGACTCATGATGTAGTATACTTAGATTCGCCCAGACGATTCTTACAAATATTACGTTTTCTCGAAACATTTCTCTGCCGCAAGACAACAATGTTCCTGACATTGAATCTTTCAAAAAGGTGGTCAAGAAAAAAAAAAAAAAAAAAAAAAAACGAAAACCAAATAAATAAATAAACGAAACGAAAAGCATTTTCAATAGCATTTTCTGATTGAGAATTGCGAAAATCTTTGCAATTCTCTTTGGGCTTATGCGGAGCATTTACCTCGCAGCTAAGCTAGCTGCACTAACACTATTATCTCGGCGGGACGTCACTTCTTGGCCGGAACAATGGCCACGAGCTGAATCCGTGTACAGCCATGCCAGCACTTGGATGCCGGCGTATTTGCTTCCGCCTTGGGATGCGGTATCGGGCATTCACAAGCGCCGGCACGAGGCACCTCACAATGAAATTTTATTTGAGGGAATGTGTTTAATGAAAAAAACAAAATTGCCAATGGCCGGCAAACACCCCCCCCCCCCTCAACAGATTTCGATTTGAATTCGGCGAACCCATAAAAGAGCTCAGCGAGCGAGCACTGACCATGCCAAACGACCCAACTTTATTAGCAGCTGTTGCCAACTAAGTTGCCACAAATCTGTGGGCGGACTCTGGCAAAAATGTTGGAGTTATGCCAACAATTTTCATGCCGTACATGCGCTCGGCAAGGGCAACACTTGAGCGAATATGATGAATGCGAAACAGGCCCCTCAAAAACTGTTTAGAATTGACCCGAGCCAATTATGGAGTGATCTGTTATTGTTTGCTTTCCCTATATCTAAGGCGACTCTAGCCTAAATTTCGCGGCAGCCAGGCCCATAAAAGTAGGCAATATTAAATGATATTTCAGTTGACGAGTTCAATCTGGGACTACGCGTTTATATTAAACCAAATTAGTCACACTTGACATCATTCCTCAAATTATTTTTAGTACGGCCTTGACCAGTGCTGGCTGTACCGACTCATCGGTATTGAGGAATTCCATGTATTTTGAATAATAAAAGCAAGCAAGTGGGATTACATTCCCAAATTCTGCAGATGCTGAGATCAGCGTGTGCAGAGTGCAGGGCATTCACACAGAACACGGTTGTAAAGCCTCTGGATGCCCTTCACAGAAACTGAAACTGTATCTATGTTCAACATCTGATGGTGATTTCGAAGTGTGCGAAGACCTCTGTGATAGCCGGTTGGGATGCGTATGTCAATCTTTCGATTATTGGCTAAATAAAAATAGCTAATGTCAATAGCAGATGCATGGCTTGCGGTAGACAATTCCTTTTTTATCCATTTATTTTATGTAATTCGTTTTTTTTTTTGTAATTTATTTGACAATCGGAAGCGAAATTGCGACGCAATAGTATATATGTATTCATGTATATTTTCATTTGCAAAACCTGTGCGACGCGACGCATCTAAAAATAATACCTGCAAATCGGCAGCCAGACTATAATTATAAGAATTATATAAATATTTGAATACTGTTTGTAAATTTGTGTGTACTTAACTATACATACATACTTATGTGCTTGGGCATATGTAGATCAAGTTTAAATTAATGCCAACGATAAGAAAAATAAATAAATACAAGAAACCGAAGGCAAGGCTGCAGACGCGCCAGTTCGACTGCAAAATGCGCTACACCGAAATTAGGCTTTACTAGTGAATAAGCCAAATAAACATATATTTGAGAATTTAATTATTTCTATCAACCTGACAGAGCATCGTTAGCCAAGCAGGCCCAATAACTCATCTCCCCACCTTCCGTAGGGCATACAAAGCACGTTTAGTCCCACAAAAGCAAAAGCAATGTGCGAATCATAGTGTGAATTGCCAATTCGTGATTCTGCATATAAGCTAAAAGGAAAATTTGTTGACGTGTCTGCAAAAAAAAACATACATGAAACAATAGTGCTCGACTAGCAGATACCCTGCACCCAGCTGAGCTGCCTTTACAAACATTCTGGCTTCCGCATTCATAAAAAGTTGCAAATGCGTTCTTGAATAACTTCATGATAGTTTGAGTGAAAGTGTGTGGCATCCATATGTAATGTCTAACTTTGATATGTTCAAAATTTAAAATCTTTAGCTCTTATAGCTTCCATGATCCACCTAGTGCCTGCACAAAACAATCACAGCCAATGGATGCAGGGTATAAAAAATAAAATAAAAATAATTCGACTAATACAACTGCTTACAGCTAAGTACTCGCATTATCGTTAACGTATCTTTTCTATTGCGAGACTGCCGACTGCAAAACAGTGTATATTGTATTTTGTTTTTGTTTTTCAATTACGTCAATGGCAACAACGTAGAAAGCTTCTTAGAGAAAGGCATGACAACAAAATGTAGACCAGAACCTACATCAAAAGATACCAGACTATACGCACCATACGTAATCGGCAACATCGCGAGCATCATCAGCAAAATGATCTATTGCAAACCGTTCCTAACTGAACTGAACTGAACTGAACTGATCTGAACTGTGAAGAGCGGCGCATCATTCGCTTTCGGTTTCTTCCGGCAGGGCAAGAGGCGAACGTTTGCCTCTGCTTCTTCGTTCGGTTTAATGGCATAAACAAAAAGCTGCTTAGTCAGCTGCAATGAGAACTTGTTATTTGTTTTTACAAAAATTTTAAACATATACGCAACCAAAAATATAAGCAAATGATGAATGTAAATGGACCCATTATAGACTTATGTTTTTTTTTTTTTTGATAAACAATGCCTAAATAAATTGAGCCGGGTCAACAATTTGCCTTAGTTGAATTAAAGCACAAATGATACGCCGTTAAATGTTCTTCGAAAACATCTCGATTATCTCGTAATATGCACCCACAATAAATGAGAAAAAATTTTCCCCTTAAATAAATGCAGTTACTTTCACGCGCGACAGCTTACAGCTGTTATCATATATCATTTGATAATTTTCCTGAAAATTTAACAAATTTAATACCGATAAAGCAGCAAGGCAATTCGGATGATTATTCATGCACACAATTGGCACGAATATAGATATAGGTGCATATATATATGCATATAATTGAAATGAACATATTTAGCATTTAATTACTATAATTAAGCTGTTCATATCAAAGGAATTTCCAAATGAAATCATGTAGAAATATGCATACATATTTCTCTAAATATATGTTTGCGATTATATACACACATTTGTTCTGGCCTGTCAAATCAATTAAAGGTGATATTATTTGGCAAGTGCGGCAAAACTTAAAATTACCACGACACATTATTTATTCAATTAGATTTCGAGCACATTTGCCAGCTTATTTATAAGCATTTCAAATATATATTGTACATGAATTATATCGAATAATTCGCACAATTTTTGGCACCCAGGTCTCTTATAAAGTTCAAGGGCGCCCGAAAATTCCATTATGTGTTTTCATTCAAGGAAATGATTTTACAAACATCATATAAGCGGCCAGACTGAAAGAGATTGGATCGAAAAAGATACTATAAACCAACCAATTGCCACACCATCCCAATCCCGATACACCCTAATAAAGCCGCCTAGATAACTAACTATGCACATGATGTCATGCGAAATTCTAGTCAGGCATTTCCTAAACTTTTGCATTATTGATTTTCGACGACACTTGACATAAGAATTATATATGCTGTAATTATAATATAATTAATTCAATAAACCGGCCGCTCTTCAGGCTAATAGTTCTCAACTACGCACGCTTAGCTTAAGTATCTCCCAGTCACGCAACCAAATCCCAGATTGTCTGCATATTCAACTCATAGATACGTACTAAAGTTGCTTATCTAATCAATGTTGCAAAAAATGTCGTCATAAATAATATGAAATTGATGGGCATTTCACAGACCATATTATGGATTCGCAAAAAACTTTGTTGCCAATTAATAATAATTTTCAAATTGAACAATAATATTGACACAAGTAAGCCGGCATATATGCACTTGACTTGAACGTCCGATAATTATTTATAGACCCCAACTAATTAAGAAACGTGTGTTGTTGTGTCCGACTTACGTAGCTCGTTGATATGCCTCAAATCGCACCTGCAAGCAAACAAAGTAAATATTATTTAGTTTTTAGGCTAAATTTCGTGCAGCTCATTAGAATTTACACGAAACTAACGAATTGCGTTGTAAGCTATGCTGCAATGTTGCTGGGTAAATGTGCTCGACCACAAACCGCTGCGCATTAAGTGACGCACTGGTATCCCCAAATGGCTATGGCTAACAAAAAATAAAAATAAAAAAGAAGAAAAGTAGGAAAAACAAGACCGACAGGAAGATATTCTGTGGCCATACACAAACAGTCCACACCAAGAAAAATATAGTCTCTGATAACTATGGCGCTGATCATCGAAGGGTAATACATTTTTCAGATCTTTGAAAAAGCCAGTGTGTACCGAAAACTGGGACTATCCTGCAATGCCTTTTCATATAGACAAATAGAGAGTTGCCGCCGCCGCCGGTTACATACACTTGCACAGCTTCAAACTACTCACTTTGCCCTGGTCTATGTGTACTGGGTATAAAAGAAACACCAAAGTCAACAAAAACAACAATGTATACTCTAGCCGCCCCACAAATGCTCAATTTGGAGCATTTGTACTGCGTCTTTACTTTTTGCTTTCCCAGCAAACTACGAACAACAGCCCATTGAAAGGGATCACATTACGAACTGGCAAACGCAGTTAATTTGAAAGCTTGAATATGACAGCAGACACCTGAATTAAAATATGAGATACATGAATAATAGAGCAATACAAGAAACAAGAAACTTAACTCCAAAATTAACCCATATCATTATATCATATCATATATATTTTTAGCAGATAGATTATATTGCCAGACAGACCAGTGCGATTCCTCATAATCGCCATGGACAGTTGGATATCTCAACTGTGGAATTGTAATACCCCGAATAAACATAGAAATGTCTAATTGTAATACCCAGAATATTATAGGCTTTAACGCTAACTGGTTGGACACGTGTTTCAGGGGAATCGATGAACGATGGGACCGGACCGGACCTTGACTTCATTAGTGCTTTTCCCCCCGGATGGTTTATGTTTAGTTAGGTATTTTCCGGACAGCTTTTGTTTTTCTTGTGTTGTAATAATTTGCAATAACACAGAAAATAATAGAAAAGCGGCTTAAATGGTTACGTTGTTATATATTAAAAAGACATTAAGGTAAACAATGGCTACAATGTAGTTATTTAATTTTATTTGCAATTAAAACAATTATTTTAATTTTTAATTTTCTTTTTTTTTCGTTTGTTTAGTAATAATCAATGCCCAACAATGAAAACCAAGCCGAAAATTGTAATCTAAATAAATTCCAGTTTGATATTCGAAACGCCACTGGTTTATATTAGTCCGAATGAATACATCAGAGACACACATACATGCAGACAGATGTACGGGTTTGCCATAGCCATTCATTTATGTAATATAATTATTTAAAGCATCGCGGCTGTCTGTTCGGTTTGTTTACTGTTGCCTAAACCTAAGAACTTATGCATAAAACCGGCCATTTTTATTTATTATTATACAATTGAACGCCGTGTACGAAATTCGAGTACTACGAACAAAGCTACGATGACAGACAACTAGGATTGCAATGGGTGTGTGTGTATCTGTAGGTGTATGTGTGTGTGTGTGTTTGGTTGTATGCTAAGTATAATTTATATATACGTATACATATGCTATGGTGTAGTATAAAAATATATATATATATTTATATATCAAGATGTTTGTTTAGTTCAGTAAATCTATATGCCTGTTTAGGATTTACATGCCGAGCAGGCACTCGGAATTGCCGGTTATGTCGGCAAACTGCGCTGGCTACGCCTGCGTCACAAAGTACATCTCGCCCGAGGAGCCAACGACCACGGCATGCGTATCACCCGGCCCAGCTGTGCCGCTAAGCGCATTGGGGGCAGCCGCTATCATGCTGGACATGTCAGTGCCATTGCTGACAATGCTGACGGCACCGCTGAATGCGGCATTTGAGCTGGTGACAATTGTTTGTGTTTCGCTGCCATTGCTGCTGGCATGGTCCGTGTTCTCGACATGCTGCTGCAGATTGTCGATGTTATCGTAGAGAGTGGAGCATTCGCCGCACTTGTACAACGGGTCAACGCATTCCGGGTGCTTGCGCTCCACGTGCCAGCGCAGATTGGCCGCATTGGAGAAGTTCTTGCGGCAATTGGACACACCACAGCAATAGGCGCGCTGCTGATGCGTCTGCCTGTGCCTATAGAGTATCGCTTTCGATTTGAATGTGCGATTGCATATGTTGCACAATGGGGTACTCGTTTCAGCATCGTGCGTTTTCATGTGCATGCGCAGCATGCCCGGCCCCTTGAAGCTCTTCAGACAGATTTCGCACTGCGGCTGCTTCTTGCAATTGGCCCGTATCCAGTTGGTGTGCGAATGCATGTGATTCTGCAAGCCCTTGAACTGCCGAAACTCAGTACTGCACAGATGGCAAATGTAACGCCCAGAGCCCAGCGGCGATGTGTGTTGCCTGATAAATTCCGTGACCAGATTCGCATCTATCTCGTAATTATCATCGGCGCCCGCTGCTGCAATCACCGAGGCGGTCTGCACCAACTGTCGCGAATTGGATGCGGCTAGTTTGCTGCTTATAGTTGGTGGACTGTGCTGATGGTTGCAGGGTGTCTCCACCAGTTGATTACTATGCGTTTGCGCATTGGCACGACGTGCGCGCTTCGCTGAACTGGGCGTGGGACTGGGCGTATTGCTGACATGTAACGTGGGCGCCACCAACGTATCATGGCCAAACTCGACCACAGCATTTTCTAGCGATATGCTATGTATGTCTACGGATTGCTGTTGTTGTTGCTGCTGTTGCTCCTGCAACTCTTGCTGCTGCTGTGCCTCGGCATCGATAAAGGCCTGGTCAATATCGCTGGCACTGACATCGCCATCGGTCGGCTCCATAATGGCATAGTGCAGCTCATCATCCACATCGCCGCCAAGGCCGTGATCCTGATCATCGGTTATGTACTCGCAGTCATCGACATGCGTCATGGCATCCCCATCTACATCTCCTTCCCCATCGTCAAGCATATCTTCATCTAATTGTATTTCCTCAATGATGAAATTGTCATCGTCGTCATCCTCGTGCTTGACGCCATCCTCGTGATGCAGCAGCTGCTCGTCAAAGTATTCGTCGGCCTCCTGCTCTTGTGTGTCGCTGTGCGTGAGCTCCTCGTCAAGTAGGACTTGATGTTGTTGCTCCTTTAGAAAATCCTGCTGCTGGTCATCGTCCAGCACAATCGTCTCGAACGTGTGATCCTTGCCATCCAACTGCTCATAGACCTCTTCTAGCTCCTCATCATCCATTTCGGCATCGTCCAAAAGCTGCACATCTGCATCTGCTAGCGAAGCCCCACTACTTGTCGTGCACATGTCCGTTGTGGTCGTCGTTGTGATCGCCGGCGCCATGCTACGCTGCGGCACCAACTGCACCAGTTGGAGGGTCTGTGTGCCGTTCGGCTGCTGGACAATTTGCAGCGTTTGGCCATTTGGCGCCTGCAGCAACTGCGGCAGAAATTGTGCTTGTGCTGAGGCCGTGGCATTCGTTGTCGTCGTTTGCGCGCCTATAATCTGCGCCAGCTGCGGCGTCACAATTTGCGTTGTTATGAACTGGCCGTTCGGCAAGAGGATTTGCTGCGCTGTCGTTGTTGGCATAAGTTGCGCAGGCGCCGGCTGCAGCGTGGGCAACTGAATCTGTTGTATCTGCTGTTGTTGCTGCTGAGTAACTAACTGTGGAGGCGGCGGCGGTGGCGCAGGCTCCGGCAACAACTGTACCACATCTTGCTGTTTTTTAGACTGCCGTGAAGTTCCTTTGCGCAGCAACGGCTTCAGTTTGTTTTTGGGCTATTTGAGAATAAAAAAAGAGTCGATAAATGTAAATTGGCTAAGGAATTGCGCGGGGATTTGTACCTTCTGTTGTTGTTGTTGTTGATGATGCTGCTGCTGCTGCTGTGGTTGCTGCACCAGGAATATAGACGACTGTTGTTGTTGTTGCTGCTGCTGCTGCTGTTGTTGTTGCTGTTGCAGCTGCTGCTGCTGCTGCATAATTTGTTGTTCAAGTTTCTGTTGCTGCTCCTCAAGCTGCTGCTGCTGCTTGAGCTGCTTTTGTAACAGCTTCTGCTGTTTTCGCTCTTGCGGCGTCAGCGACTCATCCATCACCATTCGCACCGTCAGGCTTTTAATATATTCACGTAGTTCCTTGTCGCTGCGCTCAACGAGCGACTTAAATGCATGATTTCGACTGACCGCATGGACACATTGCACACATATTTTATCGGGCCAGCCCTCGGTAGGCTCGACGCGCACGCTGGTGCAATCCATAAGCATTTCGGGCACTTTTTCGCTAAAAAGTGGACGCATTTCCTTGCGCTCCGAAATGCATAAGCGACAGATTTTGTCCAATTCAAGCACCTTCTTGCGGTCCATCATGACGCTAGCTTCACTGTACACTTTAATTGCAGTTTCCTTCTACAACACATTAAGATATGTTAAACTTGTTGCTTGCTTCTATGATAATCCTAGCCAAAGGCAAATATGTATGAGAACTTTTTGATAAGCGTTATTTTAAATTTGGCGCTTAAGAAACTCTGGCAGCGCTAGAGCTTGGTCAACGCTCTGGCAACTCATCGCTAGCGGTGCAAGCAGGATGGCTATACAGCCGACACGACACGACAACGACGACAACTAGTTATACACAATTTAGCATCCTGGTATTGGTGCGAGCGAAAAATCATATTTTAACTACTTTCGCAGCTAGCGACACAAATGTTTTTTATATTTGTACACTTTATATTTACACCAATTATTCGATTAGTTTCTCATACGTTTTGCACTTTGGTTCAAGGTTTTTAAGAACACAGTCCAGCGTTTGACTTACCCAAGCAGTATTTATGTAATTTATGTGGCCTCCCTTCGTCTTTGCACTGCATTCGATATTAATTCTTTTTAAATATGGCCGCGTCACACAATTTCCGAACGAAAAACCCAATTATTTCACATTTTAAGCACTGAGCGCGAGTTTGTTTTGAAATGATGCGAAACAAAAACAAATGCGGCACCAGTTGGTTATTCTGGCAAGTAAATGAAATAACTAGACTTCGACCAGTGCCAAATTAATAAAAATTCAATGAATGAAATTTCCGTGCAAACGCAATGGTGCTGTTTCTGCTTTTGTCTTCTTCTGTCGACTGCAGAATGCGCGAGGCAGCTGAAACGACGTGAAACGACGATTACCCACACATTTGCGTCACACATATATAGCTCTCTTTTTTTGTTTCGCCCCGTCTTCTGCTTGTGTGAGTGAGATATGCGTATGTGGCGTGGCTATGGCCTAGGGCTGCCAACTCGATCAGACAAAAATACACCAAAATTCGTGCAGAAAACAAACAACAAATACTTATACACATGCAAACGCTTTGTGTTAGCAGAATAAAACGTTTTGTGCGATTAAGATAATTTTCTAACAGATTGATCATAACAATTTGTTATTATCTGAAGAACTTAATTACTTACCTAAATGTGTTTTAAAAGTGGCAGTCCGCAGATTTCACATTTCACAACACGCACAAACACTTTCAGAACTTCGCTGTGCCTTGCGCTTTTTGCGACTTTTTGTCGTCCGGACTTGCTCTTTTTTTTATAGCTTGGCACATTTAAAAATATGCAAATAATTTTCACCAAACACTGACTTGATTTTATACACCCACGTAACAGCTGCGCCGGGTACGAATACTTTAAGGACTGTCATGCCATGATGAAAGCTTTTGGTAAGGTGCTGTTAAAACGGGCGTCATTTCAGCTGTGCGAAAATGTGACGTCACAAGTACAGTGCTTTAACATCTAGCATATATCGATAAGATTATGTTAATAACATCTGTAGCTGTTTATCAATCAGCTGTTAGATAGCGGTTATAGAAATTCTTTTGCAAAATAAGGAAATATAAAAAGTATTGTTTAAATTCAGAGAACTTTTATTTTATATCTTGAAATTTTCTGTTGGAAACAAATGTAAAAGTTGCTTATTTCTAGGCAGTGCTTGCGAGCTTGTTGCTAGTGTTGGCAAGCTCGTATTTTTGCCTCTCCTTGGTCTTTTTGTTGTAGACGCGGACAATGCCATACACTAGGGTAACCAGGAGTATACCAAACAACAGGCAACTGATCACAAACCAGGGATAGAAAGAGGAGCTGCCCCCTTGCTGCTCTTCCGCCTCCCACTCTCTAAACTCAATGGAGCCATTTGCACTCATTCTGGCTGGCGCAGCAGCCATGTCCTGGAACAGTGACGCCTTGGCCAGATTATCGGATTCGGGCGCCTCAAATGCCGGCTCGGTACTGTCGATACGCACAAACGTTAACCGGACTGCCGCAATTGGTTGCTTATAGCGCATCAGGCCATGGCCATAGTATTCGTAGATATCGGCATTGAGCTCACGATGCTGATCAACCCACTGGCCAATTATCTCCACCTTCACCTCGCTGCGGGCATCCATTGTGCGTCCATAGTAGGACTGCTCCTGCACATCCATGCCGCCCACACCGTTTGCATCCAGCTCCAGTACAGAACCGCGATGCTCAAGCAGCAGCGGCAGCTGCTCCAGTTTCTCATGCTCATAAATGCTGCTTGTGTTGACCCGAATCTTCTCCACAAACGCATAGCTAAGGCTGCCATAGATGGGTTTACGCTGTGCACTGGGATTTTTAAGCATTCCGCTGCCCAAACGCATTTTATAGCTGTTGGTCACATTGCGCCATGGCAGATACGTGATGTTGCGCAGCTGGTACATCAAAGGCTGCAGCTCCACCAGCACATTTATGTTATCCTCGATGCCATACTGCAATATGAGCGAATGTTATAAAGTATAGTGAAGCCAATACAGCTATTTACTAGCTATATTTGGCCATTTTCAGAAGTCGTTGAAATCGTTGTCTTCAACTGATTTAACTATTTTTAACATTGGCTTTACCGACAATTTGGAAACGGCAATTAGCATGACTGGTGCTCTAGTCGGGAATGACCGACTAGCAGGTACCCAGTTGGGAGCTACTTACAAAGTTGTCCTCGAATATCATGACGACGCATGTAAATAGATTATCCATCACATTGTTGACCAGATCCGTGTGCCTGAAGTGACACAGCTCAGTCTTCTCCCGCTCCACATTGGTCGCCTTGGCTATGTAGCTGAGGCGCTCCTTGGGATTCAGTTCAGCTGCATAATTCTGCAGCATGATCTTGTAAGGTACCCAGGCCAGCATTGTGCTAGCATTTCCATTGCATATGTCACGCTGGGCACCACGTCCACTCAGCTCACCGTTGTGCAGCTTAAAAAAGTGATGATTGCTGCGTTTTATTGTTGTCGAGCCGTGATCCGTGCACATGGTGTCAACGAGGCTTTCCTACGGATTAATCAAAGCGCAAAATACTTGATTTGCCACTCCCATAAATAATTTTCTTATCTGTGCTGTGCACATTATCTAGTCATAGACACTTTTCCCGGTTCCTCGCTTTCTTTATCTCACCTAATTGAATTATGAATATAAAGTGGACGAACCACTCCACATAATCTATATTGCCCATATATATACAAATTGTCTATGAAGCAAAAGGGCCTTGAAATAGTCATTTAAGGATTTTTGCGACAGGTAACTCGTTTTCATTGATCGTCCAAACGAAATCGACTTAATCTTAACTGATTGATGGAATGCCATTTAAGGCAGCAAATTTGAAAGACCATGTGAATAGCTTAAATTGGGAAAATTTTTAAATTTGTTGAAAATGTATCTTTAATTGATTGACATTGCTTTGAATAGGAATGTTCTGAGAACCGAAATGTTATCGGAGTAGTGATAAAAACACTCGAAAATAACTCAAAAATCAGAAGATCTATTCAATATCTGCTATATCTATATACTTACCTTCTCCTTGAGCGTCAGCGTTGTGGCAGTTATGCGACAATTGGTTTCCTTGTCGCTATCAATGACCACATGACGACCTATGTCAGTCAAGAGCAAAGGTTCCGTTTCTATGCAGAAATCCGCACGTTCCTGAAACGCCCGGCAATGTGTGGAAAGGAACAAGATCCACGTTACAAGCGCTACAAATGTGAGCATGTGCATGGTTTAACTTTGAGTGGACGAATTCTTAAGTATTCCGCCGTTGATACGCGCGTCGTCGATGACAAATCGTAACTGAAATTCGCAATTGCAAGTAGTAAGTTATTTTGGTGATCGCCGTCGTTCAATCAGAAGCATTCAACTTGACCGCGAAAACCCGATAAATACCGAACACAGCCATATAACCATATTTATCTGTGGCTGAAGGATAAACTTGAGCGATTCAATTGTGGACATACGAGCAAATCTAATAGCCAAACAGGTGAATTGATTAACATTAACAAAAAAGCGACTGGCCTGCGCGTCATTTCACAATTCAAATCAGTGATAAGATAAAAACTAAGCACTAAAAAGCTACACAACCACCTCGTTCTGATTAGTGGACGTCTATATCGTCATGTTTCCAAACATTTTGCTTGCAACAATAAATAAATACAGTTCATTTTGGGGAACGGCGCTCAGATACAGTGTGTGTTTATGTGAGTGATACAAAAAACAAAGGCAAAACATTTTTAAGTGCAATACATGTAAAAAAATATCAATCGGGAATTAGAAATTGTCCAGTATCTTAAAGCCATCAGACGACCGAATTCTACAATTCCTAGTGGAGTAAAATTTTGTTTTTTGAATTTGTTTTGTTAATCAAAATCATCAATTGTCAAGTACAGCATATAACAATTCATCTGTGAACGAACTTATGTTACTAACGTTTGTTACATTTTGTTAATTCTTTATTTTTAGAAAAGTATATAATTTTAATAAACTCTGTACACTTAGAAATTGTTGAACAATTTTCTTGTTTAATTTTTTCCTTACATTTGCTTATTGCTCTTCAACAGTATTTTTTTTTTTGTGTTTTGGGGCGTTTTTTTACATTGTAATTATTTGTACAAACTTTAACATAAAATAAAATTTAATATAACAGCTAACAAAACTAAGCGATTATATAGCCTATGTTGAATAAGGGGGACAAATCCGATCTCGACATGCTGAAAATAGTAGTTCATTCGTGAGAATATGAAGAAACACGCTAAGAATTCGAGCCAAGGCAGCGAAAAATAGTTGGTTCTAGTCGACTGAGCTTATCTGGACTGTTCTGTACGAGGCGTTTTATTCTGGGAATAAAGATTAGACAATTTAAATGCATGCTGGGTATAAGGAATGGGAATAACCTTTACCATCGCTACTGGCATCGCCTTCAAAGTCGATTTCATCGACATTGGATATAATTTCAAGATCGTCGTCATCGTCATCATCACCGTCATCCATATCGCTATCATTATCATCATCACTGGAGGAATCAAGATCGATAAAGTTGCGATTGCGGTGGCTGCGTAACGGGAAACCCAGAAAATTTGGACCTATGGCAAATGCTAATGCAAGTAGAGCATAAATTTGATGATATAAGATCTACGCCTGGGCACTCACCGTTATCAGAACCGGTATCCGAACCCGTCTCGGAGCCCTCCTCATTGGATTCGGGCAATTCCTCATCATCTTCCTGCAAGCATAGACATAATATTAAATTCAATATCATCCATCTGCCGCATGAGCGTTCTGAGATCGATTGGCGCACCGCCGGCACCGCCCAGTGTACGTGCTCGCCGTCGCACACCAACAATTGAGCTGTTGGGCGCATGCTGGCGAGCCAGATTTGAATTGGCATGTGACGGTAGCCTTAGCCGACTTGGACGACGAGCGCGTGCCTCGTCGTCGTCGGCACCACCAACACCAATGCCAACAGCGTCAGCGTCAGCATCAAGCAAAGCTAAGTTTGGCGCTGGCGTATGGGGGCGTGCCGCCGCCTCTTCGACGATGCGAATCAGCGCAGAGTCACCGCTTGGTGCATTGGCGGGCGGTGGCGGTTCCTCGGACGCGGACGCGCCGCCTCTAACGACACCCTCATCGACGGCCAGGTCCTTAACCGCACGCACCTCTTCCGACCGCTCGCTCTTTTTAACGCCCACGGCATAGATCTTCACATAGGTCTCCTGCTTCGAATCATAGCCGCTGTGATCCTCCACAACAGCAATTAAGCTGCCATTTGCACTAACGCTCAGATCGTTAATGTTACGCTTCACATCGATGGTCGCAATGCTAGAATAGTCGTACGCATCCAAAACATTAAAACTAGTATCATAGGTGGTTGTCTCCATGTCATGGTCTCTATCAGCGCCCAAACTAGCGCCATATATGACATGCATTGGCGAGAACGTGCAATTGCGCTGATCCAGCACCGGCACCGTCTGCAGCAGATGAAACGTGCGCAGATCCCACACCTCCGTGTTGGCTATAATCTGCGAAATAAGACGATTTAAGAACTGAGAATGTAATAGATAGAAGGCAACGCTTACCTCTAAGCAATTGGGATGAAACACGCCCGAGATGCATTGATTAAATTTGTCGAACTTGTGAATTTCCTTGCCGGAGCGCACATCCCAGAGCACGCCATCTGCAAGCATTGAATTATAAAAGACTGTATACTACTACAGCTGCTGGACTCACCTGAGAGTAGCAACTCGTCGGTGCGGCAGAGGGTAGCGCGATTCTTGGTGTACTGATTTGGTATGGTGGGTGTAAACGTCGATACCTTCGAGCCCGTATTGATGTCATATAGCACCGCGCACTACAGAGGCGATAAAAAAATGGTTAGCATTTAATAAGATTAGTAGCAAGAAACTTATTCAAACGTACATCGGTGTGTGTGCCCAGTAAACGATCCTGCGTGGTTTGGCTAAATTCACAGTAGCCGACCTCAGGTAGACGCAGTTTGGAGCGGAACTCGTTGTCGGTGATGGACCACAAAATGGTAGTGCGCAGGCGCCAGAGACTAGTGGTCAGCACCAGACCACCGGCGCGATTCGCCTGAATCGCATCCACGCCGTAAGTGTGGCATATGGAGGAGAACTGCTCGACGCCATCATTCATGTTGAACACCTTGCTCTCACCCTGGTGCGTGCCAACGATCAGGTAATTGCCCACTACGTCACAACATGTGAACTCCAGATCATCGTAGTCGGCGGAGCGCATGGTGCGCCAGGGCGCAAAATGTGTGTGCACATGACGGCGATCGAAGCGTGCGGTATTGAAGCCAGCTTGGGTCCGAAAATGCCTGGAGGTAAGATTATAGTTCGAGCTGACCAAACGACTGGGCCGTGGATCGGGGCATTTGTGCGGCTCGTATAGATCAAACTGCGGACAGGTGGTAACCGGATTGTTGCACAGCGAATGCTGATTGGTTAGATACTCTGTTACAATGCTGTTGAGTGTCACGCGCTTTGGATGCAGCGCTGGAGAAATAGTGAGCTCATCTGGCAGGCCCACAGCGGTGGACTCTACGTTGGCCAAACTGATCTGCTTTTGCAGCGAACGTGTGACCGAAGATGTGGCACGCTCCGTCTTGCGCAGCTTAATGGGTGTCTGTGCGCTGAGGTAACTAAAGTTGGGCACGCCCATGGTAGTGGACGCTGCGCCCGTCGTTGATGAGGAGGCGCCAATGCTGGAGCTGCTGTGTGGCGACATATCCTCCGAAAGACTGCGATTCTGGTCGCCGCTGGACATAATGGCCGCATGGACATCCTGCATGCGACTACGCAAACGACTGCGTGACATTGAACTCAATCCGGCGAGACCTTTGTAGTCGAAGGGCGACTGATGGAAATTGCGGGTCGTTGTCGTCTGCAGGGGCAGACCCACCTCACGCTGCAACATCTGAGCCGTTTGGCTTAGACCCTTGCTCTCCAGATGCTCAAAGATGAGCTGATACAGCTGCTGTTCGTTGTATTGAATTCGCGTCTGGGCAATCACGTTCGCCTTGTGCATATTAGTCAGCGATGGATCTAGCGGATTGTTGAGCGGCTTTGTCTTTCCCGAGATGCGCTCAAGCAGTTCCAGTGCGTACTTTTGGAAAATCACATGTTCGGCTCGCTTCTCCTGCAGTATGGGATCACGCATCAGCGCCTGCAACTGTCCGCTGGCAAATAGCGGAAGCTTGCCCACAATTTGACGAACACGATCGGAGCGTGCCAGGCCAGCCAAGGCGCGGCAGGCCATTCCACGTATGCAGTCGGCATCTGTGATGGGTCCCTTCGTTTGCATAAGCGACAACAACACCACAATACCGTTGTTTGAGCACACCGACTCCCACACCTTCTCGATCAGCTCCTCGGCATATTTCTGGTTCGCCTTGTTTTTTCGTGACGAGTTGGCAAACTTCATAAGACTGCTGCTCCCGCTATCCTTGCGTATAATGGGCGAGCACACACAGTGGCAGAGCACGGCCAGCGCGGATTTTAAGACCTCAGCATCGGCTGTGATCTCGCCGGCCGCTGCGCCCAGCACCGAACAGAAACCGGACGTTGTCGTCTTATCTGGCATTTGAAGCCGTTCGCAGAGCACCAGATATACGCGCGGTATCACACAGCATACGCTCAGCACGTCCAGGGCCGAGCGCACCGTCTCCGAACGGCCACTGTTCACCCAGTCGTAGCTAAAGGCTATGATGCGCAACAGTAATGTGATGCCGCCCAGCTTCATTAGCTGATCCACGGGCTCCCAATGGCCACGTACCGATGTGTGCTCCTGCAGCGTACGCAACTGTTCGTGCAGCTGATCGAATGTCAGCTTGGCGGCCACCGTTGGCTGCTGACTGAAGTAGTGGGTTGAGGAGGACGATGATGTTGCATAGTGTTGGCAGAGAAAATTGTTGTACTTGTAGAAGAAATGGGCCTCCATATAGCGCTTCATTGCTATGCAAACATGTCGCACCATCTGACGAGAAGCGCACTCCACGTCCTCGTTAATATCCGAACCGTTATCGCTGTCATTGTGACTGGGATCCAAAATTTTCAACACCGATATCTGTGGAAAACGAAAAACAAATTATTATCTTTATGTTTTGGCAGTCAAAAAAAAAAAAAACGGTTTACTTACAACATTGTAGAGCTTGCGCAGGCCATCCTGCGAGTCGAACTCATCCAGTATGGCCTTAAACTGAAAGCTTAGGCTGAAGAACATGGTGGCATGGCATTTGGAGGAATCATGACAGCGTCCGAGTATCCACAGTGCATAGCGCACCAGATTTGATATCAATGGACGCGGCATGCTGCATATCCGCTCCATTGCATCCTCACAATAAGCCAAATAGTAAATGGCTATGGAGACGCCTGTTGTGGCCAGACTGGGCCGTGGAACATTCAACAGCAGCTGCAAAAATAAACAAATTGAATAGTGCAACTATTAAGATTTTCAATTGGACTTACCTCCAGGCCGCCGCGCGATATGAACTCCAATGCGAACTTCTTGTGGCAGAGTAGCGAGGCCAGATATTTGAGGACCTCGTAGGCCAAGCAAGTGTCGCGCCTATCTAGCTCTTCGAGATGACCAAAGATCAGTGCCATAACATTATTACCAAATGCCATGGCCAGAAACTCTTGGTACTCGCCCAGACTGGTTAGGAAGCGCAAAATCAGCATCTGGCTGGTGTCCGCTGTTGGCGGATGCAGTGGTATATACATGCGCTTGTAATATCTCGATAGTGGAAACGCATCGCGGCTATTCTCAAACAAAATAGACATATTGGAGGCACTCCCGCTGGCGCCGTTATGCTGCGGCGACTGCGGCGCTGAGGCAGCGCCACAGGCCATCCAGCTAAGCATGCCTGGCGAGAAACTGCTGTCCGCCGAGTTATTGAGCGAGGAGCT